CACGCTCGCTGTACAGGATAGCCCATTGTTCACGTCCCTCGTCGTGACCTCTGGCTGAACATGTATTGCAGGTGTTCCATGTGTCCCTTGAACATCTTTGGGTCGATAAAGTTGAGAAGCGACAGCAACTCCATGAGGTTGTTCTGCACAGGCGTGCCTGTGAGGAGCATGCGCCAGTCCGCCTTGATGCGGATGAGGTCTTTGTAGATCTTCGTCTTGGGGTTCTTCATCTTGTGACCCTCGTCAAAGACGGCGGCATTGGGACGTAGCTCCATGAGGGCGTCGATGTCTTCCTCCTTGCCGACCTGTGTGTAGCTTGTGAGAACGACGTGATACTCCTCCGGTGCGCTCAACATGTCTTCGGCGATCATGGCGCGATCAGACTGCGAGCCCTTGTACGTCAAGACGGATAGGTCGGGGGCAAACTTTTCAAACTCAACCTCCCAGTTGGACAGCGTGGACGGCGGGACAACAATCAGATTCGGCCACGGCCGCTTCTCGTCCTTCTCCTCGTCATAACTCTCCACAAGGTGGGCCATGAGAGAAATGACCTGGCACGTCTTGCCGAGGCCCATCTCATCAGCCAGGATGCATCCGTAGCCGCTGTTGTACAAAACGGACATCCAATTGAGGCCGTACAGCTGGAAAGGGCGCATAGTGCAGTGTCCTTCCAACAAGGCCGGCTGGCGAGGAATCGGTGGCGGCGAGTACTTCTGTCCCTTGGAGCTGTTGGGTGTCATGGGAAGGTCGTCGCTGTCTGTCTGAGAAGTTGTTCCATTTCGTGCGTGGCCTTTAAAGTCGATATCCCACATACTCATCTCACTCTTCACCCGGACAGCCTTCTTCTCACACTCGGCGACGACGGTGTCGATGGCATTGACTGCCTTGGTGAACTCCATGATGGCCTCAACGAGGAGTTCGCCAATGGCCGCCTTGTTTGACTTGCGCCCATTAGACTTTTTGGCCGCCGTGACCCGCTCGACCTGGTCAATGTCGTGGAAAGGGCGTTTCGTGGCGATGATTTGTAGTTCGTCCTGCTTGAGGTTGGTCATGGCCGAGAGATCGTCAATCGAACTATTGTTGATTGTGTTGAGAGCCTTGTCATAGAGGCTCTCCTTGACGGTAGCCTCCATTAGGTCGTCCTCGTTGTCATAGTCGTCGTCCTTGTCATCTGCAATGACAATCCTGTCCTCGGCAATCTCATCCACCTCATCGTCCACATTGATGACCTCCCGCGCCTCCTGCACCGGTTGCGACGTCGGCGGCGAGGGCGATCGGTTCGGGCGACGGCCCTGCACGAGACGTCGTCGAGGCTTCGTCTGCTTCGCCGGGCTCGGTGTTCGAGGGCTGAGGTTCGGCGTCTGGTAGAAGTCGGCACCGTTGCCCTTAGCAGCGAGCGACGGCTTCGACTTGAGCGGGTTCGTCGAGGCGGCAGACAGCGGCGCCGGGGTGGCTCCGTGCTTCTTTTCCTTCTGCAGGTGCTTGCCTTCGTAGAGGTAATTCACTGCATCAGAAACATTATTATGGCAAGCCATGAGAGCCTCGCGACAAGCGCGAGACGGGAAGCTCTGACCAGTTGCGGTAGAAACCTGCTCCGTCAAGGCCGTCATCTTCTCCAGCTTGTCGATCCTTTCCGTCGGTTCGTAGTGAAAGGCGGTCATGCGCTTCTTGAAGGCTGTCGGCTGGATGTCGCCCCTCGAAGGGCTCTTCTCGTCATCGGACGATATCATGATTGGTTCGGCAGCTGGACGTTTAACACCCCGCGGCAGTTGGGGGGGAGGCCGAAAAAGTGTGCCCGCGGGGGCGAGGCGAGTCGCAAATGGCGCCTTGGCAGGCTTCGGCTGGAAGGGAGAAGACGCGGGGACCTCGACGACGCTCGATGCAAGAGGCGATGAGGGTACCTCGGTGTGTTTTGGAAGCAGAGATGTTCGATTGATCACTTGGGTTGCTTGCGTGGCGTAGGGTGAGCAGGGAATCGTGTCGCGGGCCAGCTCGTCGTCGTCGTCGTCGTCGAAGCCCCGGCCAGGAGGCGAAGAGCTGAAACCAGCTGCTAGGCCGGCCATTGTGAAGTTATGCCGCTGTGTGTTCTAAACGTTTTCGACCCGTGGTATCGGGTGTGGATCCCAAGTGAGGTTTCGAGGTGATCGGTTCACGATGTGGATGGAGAGGAAAAAAGAGATGAAGAGGAATTGGAGACACTATTCAAAGACGATGCGGTGCGGTAAGAGCGAAGATCAGGGGATAAATGAACTGGAGGGCTTCGACCCTATTCAGAAGGTCGTCAAAGGAAAGACCGATATCAAAGGCCTATTGTTCTTGGAAAGGGCGGGTAAGAGCGTACAGGGAGGAGCTCTTGCTATGCAAAGAGAATTTCAGAAACCGGGACTAACACAAAACGGCAAGAGACGCGTCGAAGAGGGGCGGGTCCTGGCGCGCGCTAACACGTGATTCACGTCATTTCAATTAACGGGACGTCTACAGTGCGAGGCGGGTGGCACAGTCCTCAAGACTCGCTATGAGCTGTCATGAGCTTCATCTTCACCATCAACCTTGGCCCAGACCTCATCACCTTGACCGGCAACATAAGGAATTTAAAGCAGTGCGACTGTGCAGAATACCATGTGAGAACTTTCTCTCTGCGTTGAGTGACCGCACTAACCATGTGTTCACTCATAGCACCGCACCCGCCTCAACCGGTTTTCTTCGCCGCTGCCTTAACTCATCCTCCTCACTCCTCACCTCAAAATGGCGACCCGACGTATCATCTCCACAGAAAAGACCATCCTCGACCAAGATGAGCCCAACAGCGCTCCGGCCGAAAAGTCCAACATTGCACCCGCCGTCCCCACCGACGTCATTGTGAAGCTCCTGGGGTTCACCTTCGCCATGATCGTTTTCCCCATCGGCTCCTATTTCCTCACAGTCAGCACGGTCTTCAAAGGTGCGCTCTGGCCCGCCTCTTTTCTCCGTCTGCTTCACTGATCATCTGACTCCCCTGGCAGGAAATTCCACCTTTGCTGGCGCGTTTGCCGCCGTCATGGCCAATGTGGTGCTCATTGCGTACATAGTCGTTGCTATGAAGGAGGATCAGACGGAGCAGGACGAGAAGAAAACAAAGGGAGATGG